AAAGATATCCAATTAGCTAGAAGATTAAGAGGTGAAAGATCATAGGTTAATGTGCTCTTTGTGGTTATGATTTATTATGTATATTAGATGGGAATATAATGATTAAAGGTATTTCAGATTATTGTATTGTAGATATTATGTAAGCAATATGAAATTATATTTAGTTTCATTGCATCAACATTGCTTTGAATTGAACAACAATCATATTCAATTGACAAAGAACAAAAAGTATTTAATAATGGTGGAAATTACTGAATTAAAAGATGATGTTCAACAAGATATCAACAACAAAATTGATACAAATGCTTCATTAACTGAACAATTTTATCAATCTTCTAAAACTCCATATCCTTCATGGGCTTTTAGTTCATTATTATTACCAACTCCATTAATATCAAAACAAAAAATCCTACAACAATCATCAGGTTCAATATTAACTAAAACCAAAACAATTGGTCCTTCAACTATAAATTCCTTAGGGTTTGGTGCTATTTTTGCGCTTGGTGGTTGGATTATAAATGAAGGTGATGTTGAAAGTGGTTCTGGATTTTTAACTGCTTGGTCTTCATTATACTTGTTAGTTAATGGTACAAATTCAATAAAAGCTTTAGGTCATGGTAAAATTTGGCCATTGTTATTAACTAGTGTTGCTACTGGGAATTTATATATTAATGGTAAAAGATTCTTTTATGGTACAACCTAATAATTATAATATTCATAAATAATACAAGTTTCTATATATAATCACCATTTTAATGGTAACCAACCTTTTTCTGTAGCAATTTCAACAATTTCTTCCTCTCCATACATTTCAATAAATTGTTGATCTAAAGGTCTTGCTTTTGGTGATGCAAATCTTCTATATTCATCAAAAATCATTGTTAAACTCCATCCTTGTAATCTTCTAATACAACCAACAAGACATCCAGTTCTATGTTTCCCACGATTACAATGAATTAAAATTGGATGATTTTGTGGATCAATAACAATATTTAATGCTTTTGTAATTAAATCATGTGGAACATTAACAAATGGTTCTTTATTACCACTTAATCCAACTTGAAAAAAATTTATACCTTGTTTCTCTAAAAATTCTAAATTTTCTTTTGGATATTCATCAGGAACTAACACTAATATTGATTTTAATTTTAATTTTTGTAAAAATTTAAAATTTTCCACACGGGGAAAACTTGATCTATATATCCTACCAATCACAGGAGAAAAATTTTCTGGTGGTGTAAATTCTTCAATTATACCATCATCAATTGTTGTTGTTATATTTGAAAAACTTGATAATTCATCAACTTTATTAATATTTGATTCTAATTGATTTTGTACTGATTCATTACCTAATTCTATATCTTCCATATCAATATCAAATGGAATTGATTCATCTCTATCTTGTTGATATTCATCATCATATTGTCTTGGATCTATCCCGGGTTTTTCTATTTGATCATCAAGATCCATTCTATAATCACCCATTATTGTGTGTTGTATTGTATTGTGTTGTATTGTGGTTTATTTGATTAACTCTCAAAGGCACACGTTTGACGTTTTCCTTATACTTAATCCTTTATTTCCCTATTATTATAGAATAAAAAAAATTCTTCTTTATTTTTAAATTCTTAATATTAATTTAATTCTTTATGATTTCACACAATTAAAAATTCAAAACATAACTATAACAATATATTCCTTTTCAAAAATAAACTTCTCAATTAATTATAATGGATAAATAACAGCAAATAATATCTCAATTTTCAAGAGCAAACTCAAAAACAACTCTTTTCTTTATAAGAAAGTGAATACTATGATAATTGATGATTAGGACAACCCTGAATCAGTTGGATATGGATAGAAATAACCATCCATTAAGAAAAGAAAGGAAAAGTTCTTTTAAAAATAACAATTATAGTACTAATTTTGAATTTTTAATTTTTAGTTTTTCGACATGAGTATAAAACAAAATTCGCGAAATGTTAAATTTATAATCGTTACGGGACACTCAAGTATAAATAATCATTTCATTAATTCGTTAAACTTCATAAGTAATTATACACTAAAGATGTTCTTTTAAAGTCCTAAACCTGCCCCCATATCAAACCCATTTGTATAAATATCATCATTAGTTAATAAAGAATCAAAAACTTGATCAGATCCATTAATAAAATCTAAAAAATCAAATTTTAAATTATCTTGAATTTCCACTAATTTTAAATCATTTTTAATACCTTTTATAACTTCATAAATTCTAAGAGTTGTACTATCTAATTTAGAACTTTCCATGAATATCAAGACATTTGAAATAATTTTAATTAATTCCTTTTTATCAATTATTAAATCTGGTGAAATTTTAATTGATATCATATCATTTGATGTATTTGATAAATAAATATAAAAAAATGCAGAAACTAATGTAGCAGGATATGCATAAATACAATCCATTGCAACTGAACCTTTATTAAATTTTAATTCAGTGGCTTTAATTAATAATTTTGAAATTTCTAAAGATGCATAAATTCCAGTCTTCATTAAATTTAATAATGTTTCATCATTTAAAACTTGATAATTTGTTGATGATATATAAACCATGAATGGTAATGTTAATGTAACCATATAATAATTATAAACTAAATTTAATTTAAATTCATAAATTGTTTGGATTTGATCAATTGATATTATTTTTAAATCTTGATATAATTGAATTAATTGATTTTTTAATAATAAAGTTCTTTCAATATTTATTAATGATATTGGTTGTTGTTGTTGATAAGAATTTTTACGTTCTTTAATAATTTTATTCAAGAATCTTGATAATTTTGTAACTTTTATATAATAAATTTTAAACTCTTCTGATAAATTTGGATAACTAGTTTGTAAATTTGGATAATCAACATCAATTTCATCTTCATTAATATTACTTGGTCTTCCAAATATTGAACATAAAGTTAATTCAGTTCTATATAATGACCAAAAAACTTGACTTGTTAATGTTGAATGTTCAGTTCTCTTAGACATAATTTTTTTATGAATCCCTAATGAAATTGCTTGTCTAACGGCAAGACCAATTAAATTCCATGCAGAATCTCTATTTTTAGTTGAATGTAAATACCGGGCAAATAAATAAAGAAATTGAATTGAATTAATTGTTGATGCTAATACAACATCTGATAAAATAATTTGTAAAACTTCAAAAATTTTATTAATATCTAAAATTTGTGTAGAATTATTGATATGTTTTGAACAAGTTAGCCAAATTAAATAAATACAACCAACAAATGAATTTGATAACTTATCCTGAATTCCTATGATATTATTTGAGCCTAGTATTTCCCAATATTTTTCATATTTTAATCTAAAATTTTCTTCATCAAATATGAAAAAAAAAGGATGAAAATATTTGAAAAAAAAATTAATATATTTATCTGATTCTTCTCTATTAATAAATTTCACAATGGGGAAATTTGATTCTTTTGTGATTAAATCTGCAATTTGTGCCTTGGATTGATTATCAACTTTATTTTGAAATAATTTTAATTCATAATCAAATGATAAATTTGTTCTATATGATCGTTTTAATAATAAATCACATAATACAGTAAATAAAACTGAAGTACCTGAAGATCCAACATAATGTCTATCACCTCTTGAATCAATAACCACAGTGTCCTTTGTAGGAAATTCTGATGGTGTTTGAACATGTTGTTTTGATGATAATTCTTCTGGTGTGGTTCCCAATTTTGATTGAGGAGTGGTATGGTTACTTATAATATTTTGAGTTTTTGGTGATTCTAATCTTGGAGAAAATGGTTTTAAAATTTTAGATTCTAATTCCATGGTTCCTAATTCATTCTCAGGTAATTCTTTAGGCATTTTAGTACCCATTGATTCACCCAATTTAATAACTTGATCAATATCATTTATATCTAAATCTGGATAAAGCCCTTGAACAAGAGTCAATAAACTCTTGTAATGCATTCCTAAATTCTCATATGAGCTATAAACCCTTCTTCTTCTGGGTATACTTGTCAAGCATTCCAATCCTAACTTATCACAACTCATACACCGTGAACCATTACCATTACCATTACCATCTCCACCGTCACCAATCCTCTTGCACTTGATCTTTTTAGTCTTGCACCTGTCACAACTGAACGCTGCTCTCTGTCTGTTCTCCGGTGCCACCAGCCGACTCTTCTTCTTCGTCACCTTGTACTCACTCATGATCACCTTCTGTCTTTATTAAATAAATCTTCAAGTAAATTTGATCTTTTTTCTCTTGTATATAAACAAAAATATTCGCGCTCTTCTTCACCAAAATCAAAACAAAACCATCAAAACAATAAGAACATTCCAAACTTTCCATCAAAAAGATCAACTTATTATTGTTGATTCAAAAAGGGGTTCAAGTTGTTTAAAATGGCTTCTGTTCAATCATCAGTCATCAATTTAACCAAAACAATCATCGGAGCAGGTCTCCTGGCAATTCCTTTCGCTTTCAAAGCTGATGGTTTGATATTAGGTACTATATTAATTTTAATTGCTGGTATTGCATCTTCTTATGGTCTTTATATTGTTAGTCAAGTTAGTAAAAAATTACCTGGTGATACTTCATATTTTGCTCTTTGTGGTATAACTTATCCTAAATTGACTTTGATTTTTGATTTTTCTATTGCAATTCAATGTTTTGGTGTGGCTTTAAGTTATTTAGTATTGATTGGTGATTTGGTTCCAAGTTTAATTAATGAAGTATTGAGTAGAAATCAAGTTATATTGCTTAGTTTGATTATCATCATACCTTTAATCAGTTTTAGAAAATTAGATTCTTTGAAAATTGGTTCTTTAATTGGATTATTGGCAATTGGTTATTTAACAATATTGGTTATTTCTCATTCAATATGGGATGATTGGTCCAAGAGTCAAGGTCATGTTAAAATATTAGAAATTGGTTCAATATCTCAAATCCTTTCAACTTTTTCCATTGTGGTATTTGCATTCACTGCTGCACAAAACATTTGTTCTATTATAAATGAAATTAATGATCAATCACAAGTTCCAAAAGTTATCACTTTAGCAAATTTAATTGCAAGTTTATTGTTCTTAAGTGTTGGATTTGCAGGTTATTTACAATTTGGTGATAATGTTCATGGGAATGTTATATTAGAATATAAAAGTAAATTATTAAGTTCAAAAATTGGTAAATTTGCTCTTGTATTAATGGTTACTTTATCTTATCCATTAATGTTTCATCCATGTCGTTTATCAACAAATAATATGATTCATTGGATTCAACAAGAAATATCTAAAAATAAAACCACATCAACAGTTGTTAATGAAAGAACTGGATTAATTAATGATGAAGAATCTGGTATTAATGAATCAAATGATGAAGTTCCATTTTCAACAAATAGATTTGTATTAGTTACTACTTTATTAACTTTGGGTACATATGGATTAGCATTATCAATTAAATCATTTGAATTAGTATTATCATTAGTTGGTGCCACTGGTTCAACATTAATTTGTTTTATATTACCAGGTTTATTTGGGTTTAAATTATTTCCAGATAATGATATTAATAAATCATTAAGTTTAAGTTTAACTATATTTGGATTTATAGTTATGATTGCATCAGTTTTTGCAACTTTATACTATTAAAAAATACAGACAAGTTTAATATAGATACTTAAACTTTTTATTAAAACATGATATATAATAAAATAAATGCAATGAATAAAAACAGGTACGAATTGAAAAAAAAATGTTTATCTATGTAATGAATTAAATGGGTTCATAATCTAATCATCATCTTCATCATCACTTCTAACATCATCAGCACCATTACCTGTTAAAACTTTTATAATAACTTTAGCAATTAAATACATCCAAATCAATGTAATGATTTGTAAACCTCCCAATAAAGATAAAAAAACATCAACAATTCGATCAGTATAACATCTTTTTTGAATTAATCCATCAATACATCTACCTGAAACCATAAGATCTCTTGCTTTTGTAGCAGCATGATAAAAAATATAATTATAAACACCATGTCTTAATGCAATCCAACCTAATACGAAAACACCAAACATAAAATCACATAAATTTTGATAACCACAATATTTTAATAATTTTGCAGTTGATAATAAAATATCAACAAAATCCATTATAACTAATATAACATTCCCAATTCTAGTAAAATAATAATAATATGATCCAATAACTAATGCCACGGTAATTATATGATGACTAAACATTTGATAATGATCTTTTCTTTTAGCTTCAATATTTAATGTAAAAATTTGTTGAGACCATGATGCTATTGACATTAAATAATATAATTTAAATAATCCAGACATTTCATCATGAGGCCAATTTATATAAAAATTATCAAAATTGTTGAAATATGATGAATGATAATATAACCAAGATCCAACACTAAAAGATGAAGCATATAACATTACACACCAACCTTGTTCCATAAATCTTTGTTTATCCTTTTGTGAATAAATTTTATTAAATTTTGCTAAAGGTTTTAATATATAATGCATTGAAAAAGCTCTTATAAAAGTTGCAGCAAACATCCCTGTGATAACAACATAAATATCATCTTTACCAATATCATAATAATTTGTTTCAGGATATTTATATTGTAATTGTAAAAATTTATGTGTATAAGGTTGGAAATTTTCAAATTTATTTAATAAATTTAATATTATTAAGGCAATTAAAGAAATTTCAATTTGATATTTATCAATTTTATTTGTTTTGTAAGTTTTAGTTTGATTATGTTGTTTTATTTGTTCTTGATGTTCTGATATTAAACCTTCTTCTGATTTTATATCTAATTTTTCATCTTCATATGATGATGAATCACTTGAAGAATCTGATAATCTAACTTGAGATATAGTAGTTTCATTCTTTTTAGATGATGAATTTGTTGAAGTTGAAATCATAATATAATAATGATATTTGATGATATTTATAATTATAGATCTAATCACGTGACTAAATTGTTTTAATAATGAATGAAAATGATAATGAAAATGAGATTAAATAAATAGAATAGACACCTGTTATAGTGGTCTAATGAATGAATATATTCTTAATGATTTGAATTGTATTGACGTTTTTGGAGGACTTCTAGATCTTGAAATAATGGTACCTGAGATCTAAATGCAACGCGTGGGAACAATGAATGAACGAACGAAGAATAACAAAAACCAGTGATGAGATACCTAAACCTATGAGCCTAAACCTGAACTACCAGCATATGATGATCCCCTGAACAAATAATAACAGCACAAAACAAAATTCTTATCAAAGATCTTAAAATTTATTTCTCAACGTCTTTTAAAATTCTGACAGCGTATCCTTCTTTTTTCAAGAAAAAAATCAAACCAACAAAAAAAAATAAAAAAAATAAAAAGCACCGAAAATCTAAAATTCGCGGATGATTTCATAAGGGTAACTATCAAATTTCAATATTTAATTACCTGATTTGGTTTTAATTGTATTGTTTTGTATGGGTATTTATCTATTTAAAAGAACTGATTCTAATGGTTTTTTACAACTTGATTCATCATAAGTTTCCCATATTTCATAAAGTGTTATTAATTCTTGAACAGCTTCTATAACACCTCCGAGATCTATATTTGAATAACCTAAAAATTTAATAAAATTCTTTAAAAATCCACTTTTAAGATATTCTTCAGTTATCATTGTATTTGGTTTTGAATTCTTTAATGAATCTTTGGAAATATGTTTTAAATGATTATATTTTAGTACTATAGTTAAAAAAATTGAAGCTGATGCTATAATATGTGGTGCATGAATTAAAGGTAAATCTGTAACATAACTATCATTTATAATTGACCAGCATGATTGTAATTCTTCTGGTGATAATGCAAATGGTTGTGAAGTGTCATTATTGTTATTGCTATTATTATTATGATTATGACCCTCTGATTTATGTGATTGATTATAATTTGATAAAACTTCATTTATAAGTAATAAAGATCTATAAGGATGATGAACAATTAAATAAGTATCCATTTCTTCAATTAAATAAAATTCAAATTCTGCAACTTTTGTTGCATCATGTGGTATATATTCTGGCCAAAGATTTCTTGCTTCTGAAACAATAGTTCTTATATGTTGAGGACATTCTTCAATTTTACATGATAAATAGATTGAAGTGGTAATTAACAAATATAAATTAACTTCTTTTAATGAAACTTTTGTTAAAAATCTTAATAAATAAACTTCTGCAGTTGATAAAGCAATTTGTCGAACATTTAATCTTCTCCCTAATTTATTAACTAATGAATGAATGTAAATCCTCATATATAAATCATAATTAACCTTCACTTTTGATATCAATTCACTTTGTTCCATTGTATTCTCTAATAATGATAATTCACGTCTTGCATCTTTTAATGAATCTCTACTAAATTGCCAATTCATCCGTTGAGTTGAAGACCAAAAATCAGCAGCCATTTTGTATGAATTTTAACCTTTTAACACTAGATCTTCGAGTAGATTGATAACAATAACAGTCTCTTTAAATTACCAATAATAAATTAATACCAAAAGTACTTGATTGTACTCGTTTCTCAATTGATGAGTTGTTGAATTTCCAATTGTTTCTATAAAAATTGCTTATCGAACTTCCGCTTTTCAAAAAAATGTCAAATATCCGAATCAAACAATTTTTACACACTTTAAATGAAAAACCACTCAATGAGAAGTAATACAATAGTGAATATATAGGGTGTTGATTTAAGTGATAAATTGATATAATATTATGTTATTTAAACAATTATACACCATTTTACAACCTTTTTCACGAGTTTAATTGACTTTTTAATAACCTTTTATGCCCTAATCAAACCAAGATCCCATTCTCACAGGGTTCTTTACATACTTAATATGTTGTATCCTGCTTTTGCATTCCCACTTTCACAGGGCCGCGAATCTAATAAAAATCTTTTCTACCCAGTATAAAAAAACTATTGAAAATTTTTTTTTCTCTCCTTTTCATATTTAATTTAATACTTCTTCACGTCCATGATCAAAGAATTGTTAATCGAAGCATACAAAAGGATTCCTAGGAATCATCATTACGCTTTGGGGAAAGTCTCCGACCAATCACACGGAAATCGTGATGAGATTTGTTATCAACTCATCAAGACTTGTTTTCTTTAATTTTACTAGATTATTTTCCAAAGAAGTTGTTTTAGGAAGTTTTGATTGGGTTTTTTCAAAAGAACTGGATTTGAATAGTTTTGGTTTTGGATAATTTAGATTCACATCTTAAGGGTTTACCTGGTTTTCTTTTTCTTGGATAATACTCCTCTTGAGTCTTGAGATTACTTTTAAAGTTTTCTGTTATCTGGTTGGATTATTCAAGTTTATCTGGTGTTTTTATTTCCTATATTCCTTAATGGTTTCTTATCATTCCTCTTTTGGCCTGTATTCATTATTTTTATTTTAACCTTCGTTTGTATGGATTTTTTCTAGAATTTTAAAAGAATTCATGTTTTACATATTCACTAAATTTCTTTAAATTTAGTTGAACTTTCGGTATTTGGGGTTTATTGCAAAACCTAAACGATAGTTATAACAATTGATCATTTTGAAATGAAATATGATTAACCCAATGGAGCTTACTCTTGATTCATGGACGTCACTCTTAACTTCAAAAGTCTGTTCTTTTCAAAATGAAAGAGAATTGTATAGTCAAATATACCAGACTTCCATAATAACTTATAAATAGATATCATTTTAGTGAAGATTGAAAGAATATCTATTATTTGATTTTTAATATGATGAGATACAAATGCAACATAGAGTCAAGCTCAGAGTTAAATAACAGGGACGAGACTTGCGATTACACTCTGATTTTAAATCAAATATATTGGATATTTTTTTAATTTTACTTTATTATATAGTGATATAAATTTGATATCTATTAATCTATTAATATTTGAGTACATTGTAGTATTTATTGATCTTAGCTTTACATTTTCGAAATTTGTTAGATATTGTAATTGTAGTCTTTTTTTTTCACGTTCTCGAGAAATTTGACATAAAAAAAATCTATACATCTTGAAAACCTTCATAACAACTTGGAACTTGAAACTTGGAGCCAACCACCATCAACCAATCTCAACTCATTTAAAGTGTTTTCTCATATCATTCGAAGAACAAAGATCTTCCATTCTTTAATTAACAAACTCAAAATGTCAACAGATCGTAAACAATCAATCCCATTCAATAAATCAATAAAATATTTTGATATTGGTGTTAATTTCACAGATCCAATGTTTCATGGTGAATATAATGGGAAACCAGCTCATCCATCAGATATAGAAGATGTTATCTTACGTGCTAAAACTTTCAACGTCAGAGGAATGTTATTAACAGGTTCATCATTAGAAGAAAGTAGAACTACTTTAAATATTGCAAATTCGTATCCAAATTATCTTTATTCAACCGTGGGAGTTCATCCATGCTCTGTTAATGAAATTAATTCAGAAAATGAAAGTCAATATTTAGATAATTTAAAAGAATTAGCTATAAGTGGTAAAAAATCTGGGATTGTTAAAGCATTTGGTGAAATTGGTTTAGATTATGATCGATTACATTATACACCAAAAGATCATCAATGTAAATATTTTCAAAAACAATTAGATATAGCAATTGAAGTTGGATTACCTTTATTTTTACATATGAGAGCTGCAAATGATGATTTTATCCAAATAATAAAACCATATTTATCCAAGATCCCAAATGGTGTTGTTCATTCATTTACTGGTACAGAAGATGAATTAAAAAAATTATTAGATTTAGGTTTTTATATTGGTGTAAATGGATGTTCTCTCAAGACTGAAGAAAATTTAAAAGTTGTTTCACAAATCCCACTAGATAGATTAATGATTGAAACTGATGCACCATGGTGTGAAATTAGGAAGACTCATGCAGGTTATAAATACCTAACTTCATATCCAAATGAAACTTATCCATTAGTTATTACACCTCAATCAGAAATTTCAACTCCATCAACTCCATCTTCAGGGACTTCAACACCATCTAAAAAGCAACAACCTATAAAATTAGACCCAATATTACCATTCCCATTATTGAAAAAAGAACATTATGAAAGATTTAATATTAATGAACGTACATTAATTGGTGAAAAATCAGCACCTTTAATTAAATCAAGAAATGAACCTGTTCATATTGGTCAAGTTGTTGAAATTATTGCTAATTTACAAAATGAATCTGTTGAGAATGTTGTTAAATCTGCTTGGAAAAATTCTTTAGATTTATTTAAAATTGATGATGTTGATGAAGAATTTTTTACGTATTAGGCTGTTAAATATAAAGGTTATAGATTTATATATTAGAGATATATAATAAATGCAAACAATAAATCATGTAAATTGTAAGAAATCATTAATAAAATAAAAGCTGAAAACTGCATATATATGATAAGATATGACGTTAATTCATGAAAAATTAATTTGAAAAAAATTTATATATAAATCAATGATAAAGTTAATTTGAACGTAAAAAACACACATAAAAAATTAATATAATAGACATTGTATAAAATGAGATTTAACATAATTTATAATATACATAATGAGATTTTAATAATTAGTTTCTTGAAAATTAATTATAATTTGATGGAATTAAAAATGTTGTAAGGAAAATTATTGTATTCTTTATTTTTTGGAAGAAAAGTTTATTCATTTGAACCTGATGAACCTGATGATGTTGGTTTAGAACTTTGTTCTTCATCATCTTCATCATCTTTTAATTCTGTTACTGGACCTGATTTGGAACCATCTTCATTAGTTTCAACACCTTCTTCTGAATCTTCACCTTCACCTTCACCTTCACCAATTTGAGATTTATCAACACCTAAAGAACTTAAGATATTTGAACTATCTAAATATAATACACCATTTTGACTTGTTAATAAATTATTTTCTAATAATTGTTGAATTGAAAAACTTGATTTTAATTCATCTGTACCAACAACATTTTCTTCATGAGTTGATTGTTGAATAGCTTGAGAACGTTCTTCTTCTGAATAAATTTCATTTGCAACAGTTTCAAAATCTTCAGAAATTGGACCACCTTTTGAAATTATTGATTCATACCATTCTTCTAAAGTTTGACCTTGTAAAAGAGCAACAATAACAATAGACATATTATCACAACCAATACCTGAACCACCTGAACTTGGAGCTAAACAAATATCAATTAAAGCTTCAGAAATTTCAACAAGAGATTTACGTAAATGAATTCCCTTTCTAACAACTTCAACAACTTGTTGTGAAGATAAACAATCCCAAATACCATCACAAGCTAAAACAACAAATTCATCATCTTTTGTTAAATTATGTTCAATTATATCAGGGAATGCTGTGACAATTTGTTCTTCTGGTGGTAAATCAAAAGATTTTTTAAATTCAAAATCACCAATAGCTCTTGATAATGCTAAATTACCATTAACACGACCAATATCAACAAAACCACCAGCAGCACAAATTCTTGCATGTTCACCTTCATTATTTGGTTTATGATCATAACTTAAAGGTTTAGCAAAACCATTAACGGATAAAACAGTTCTTGAATCACCTGAATTTGCACAAACAACTTTTTCAGAATCAATTAATACAGTTGTTGCAGTACAACCACTTTGATCAGTTTTCAATTCATCATCTTGTAAAATTTGTCTATCAGTTGAAAGGAAAACATTTTGTAAAGCTTTACCATAGTTTCCCTTGATGAATTCAGGTTCTTTTGGTATTAATTTATAAAGATTTTCACCAGTATATTTAGCAATACGATCACCACCATGACCATCATAAACACCAAAAAATGCAACTGGATCTATACTTGAATTTTTATCTTTGGTAGTGGTTGTAGAGGTCTTATCATCATTATCATCATCAGTCTTGTTCTCATCATTTGAATAGTTATGTAAGTTTAAAATTGTTGAATGAGCATCTTCCATACTAATTCTCCAACCTTGCATACTTGATAAACCATAAGCAAGATTTTTATTTTGGTTTGATTCAGATTCTTTTTCTGTAACTGGTTGTGATAGAATTTGACCCATTGTTAATGATATATATTATATGTGATTTAAAATTGGAATGAATTGAGATTCTATTTGGTTGTGTATGGATATGGATATGAATATAGATCTTTCTTTATATCTTTATATCTTTTTATATCTTTTTCTTGTTGTCTAATTGGGATATGAATACAATTGATATGTCTTTAATCTCTCTTTTCAATCAACTGATTATTTTCACTAATTGATCTTGATATAACTCTTTCCAGCAGCTCTGTACCTTTCTGGATATACTTTTCTTCCTATCTAGATTTCCTGGGGATGGGCTATCAAAAGGGCGGTCTAATCTCTCTTGTGTGCCTAAATGAGATCCAATTCAATTATCTGATTAATAAACAAATGAAACACAAGCAGCAGTTCTTTGAATGTCAAAACAAAATTGTTGATTTTTTGATTTGTTTTCTTTGTTTTGTTTGAATTTTGATTTTTTGATTTTTTGATTTTGTTTTGCCTTCAAAAAAAAACCAACGAAAAAAAAAAAAAAATCAAGAAAAAAAAAATTTAAATTTCACGTGATTAAAATGGGAATTTAGAACAAGTTTATTATGGAAGCTGGCAAATGAATAATGATTGAATAGTGAATAACATGATGAATAAACAAGATATAATAGTTTTTTAAAGCATCATTATATCGTTCACTATTAGATCTATGATATACTCGAAAATTACACATCTTTTACTAACAAACTCACCATGTTATCCCAATTCACCCATCATATCCAATGTCATTTTTCACTTTTAAATTTTTTTTAAAAAACTAATAATGTCTCGGTGATTCATGATTCATTACTAAAACTTAAACACTTAATCATTGAAGTATAATACTATCAGTTGACCAGTTGAATATATTAACAATGCCTGCTCCTATCCAACCTTCATTGGATTCATTAATATCCATCATCAAAAAAGATCGTGAAGAATTATCAACAGATAAAATTCCAAATTTATATCCAATTTATTCATTAGTTTCAAATGATTCAATTACTGCACATATTGCTTATTTAAAATTAACCAAGATTGGTGATGATTCTCATAAAAAAACTGAAAGTTTCCTTTTTGAAAGTGCTAAAAATGGTGATACTGTTGATAGATATTCATTTATTGGTTTCAATCCAAAAAAAACAATCAAGACAGGTCCTGAATTTAATAAAGAAGTTGATCCTTTAGTCTTATTAGAACAAGAATTAAGTCAATATCGTCAAGCTCAATTACCTGGTATCCCACGTTTAAGTGGTGGTGCTATTGGTTATATATCATATGATTGTATTCGTTATTTTGAACCTAAAACCAAAAGAGATTTAAAAGATGTTTTAAAATTACCTGAAGCTTCATTAATGCTTTGTGATATTATTATTGCTTTTGATAATGTTTTCCAAAGATTTCAAGTTATTAATAATATTTCAATTGATATTAATGATGATGATGCTACTATTAATGAAAAATATGAATTAGCTAAGAAAGCAATTAATGAAATTGAAACTACATTATTAGATGAATCAATTCCAATTCCATTCCCAAAACAAGGTCCAATTGAATTAAATCAAGATTTCCAATCAAATATTGGTCAAGATGGTTATGAAGGTCATGTTAAAAATTTAAAAAATCATATTTTAAAAGGTGATATTATTCAAGCAGTTCCTTCACAAAGAGTTGCAAGACCTACATCATTACATCCTTTTAATATTTATCGTCATTTAAGAACAGTTAATCCATCTCCATATATGTTTTATATTGATTATTTAGATTTTCAAATTGTTGGTGCATCACCTGAATTATTAGTTAAATCAGATTCTCAAGATAAAATTATAACACATCCAATTGCAGGTACTATAAAACGTGGTAAAACCACCGAGGAAGATGATGAATTAGCACATGAATTAAAATCATCATTAAAAGATCGTGCAGAACATGTTATGCTTGTTGATTTAGCACGTAATGATATTAATAGAATTTGTAAACCAACTACAACTAATGTTGATAGATTATTAACAGTGGAAAGATTTAGTCATGTTATGCATTTAACTTCACAAGTTAGTGGTACCCTAAGAGATGATAAGACAAGATTTGATGCATTCAGATCAATTTTCCCAGCTGGTACCGTATCAGGAGCTCCAAAAGTTAAAGCAATGGAATTAATTGGAGAATTAGAAGGTGAAAAAAGAGGTGTTTATGCCGGTGCAGTTGGATCATGGTCATATGATAATAAGACCATGGATACATGTATCGCTTTGAGAACTATGGTTGTTAAAGATGGTGTTGCATATTTACAAGCTGGTGGTGGTATTGTTTTCGATAGTGATCCATATGATGAATATATTGAAACCATGAATAAGATGAAGGCTAATAATAACACTATTGTTGAGGCTGAAAAGATCTGGACCGAGAAGTTGGCTAATGGGGAGCATTAGACCCAGTGTATATACTATAATTAAAACAATTTCCATTAAAATATTGTAATTTTGTATGAATTGTACTTGATATTTGGTATTTGATATTCCGGGTATCTTTATAGGTCAAATATTGAATTCGCGAATTCTTTTTGGTTTTTCAAAATTTCATTTTTTTTGCTTGATGTCAACAAAAAAACCAAAAAACACTCAAATTTTAATTATTTGTTAGTTAATCAATTGAGAAACTATTCATTGATTGTTGGTGTTTGATTCAATTGATTGGTGTTGCTTTAGTTGGAATAACCCTGTGTGTTTGTGTGTTTTAAGTCTGTGTCAATTGGTGCTGTGTTGGTTTTGTTTATTCGTGCTTGTTTTGGTTGCCCCTTGACAGAGAGAGATATTGATTTAGACCATTTGGTTAACATTTCATATACATATTACAATACATTAATATAGAGACTAATATAGATCATGGCTGAAGATCCTCATAACTTCAAGTTTAGTCAATGTTTTGGTGATAAAGCTGATATCGTCATTACAGAAGCTGATATCATATCAACTGTGGAATTTGATCATACTGGTGATTATTTAGCAACTGGTGATCGTGGTGGTCGAGTTGTATTATTTGAAAGAAATAGTGATAAACAAAATAGTTGTGAATATAGATTTCATACAGAATTTCAAAGTCATGATGCAGAATTTGATTATTTGAAAAGTTTAGAAATTGAAGAAAAAATTAATAAAATTAAATGGTGTAAACGTACAAATCAAGCTCATTTCCTTTTATCAACTAATGACAAGACTATAAAATTATGGAAAATTTATGATAAACAAATTAAAATGGTTGCAGAAAATAATTTAAGTGAATTTCAATATAAAAATTCACAAATTTCTTCAAAATTATCCCTTAATTCATTACATTTACCAAGATTAACATTACATGATAAAATAGTTGCAGCATCACCAAAAAGAATTTATTCAAATGCTCATGCTTATCATATCAATGCAATTTCAATAAATTCAGATGCAGAAACTTTTATGAGTACAGATGATTTAAGAATTAATTTATGGAATTTAAATATTCCAGATCAAAGTTTTAATATAGTTGATATTAAACCTGCAAATATGGAAGAATTAACTGAAGTTATAACAAGTGCTGAATTCCATCCACAAAGTTGTAATTTATTTATGTATTCTTCATCAAAAGGTGCAATAAAATTAGCAGATATGAGAGAAAATGCTCTATGTGATTCTCATGCAAAAGTTTTTGAAGAATATGTTGATCCATCAAATCATAATTTCTTTACAGAAATTACTTCAAGTATATCAGATGTTAAATTTAGTGCAGATGGTCGTTATATTGCAAGTCGAGATTATATGACTGTTAAAATATGGGATGTTGCAATGGAAAAAGAACCGGTTAAAACTATAAATATTCATGAACAATTAAGAGATAAATTATGTGATACTTATGAAAATGATGCTATATTTGATAAATTTGAATGTACATTTAGTGGTGATGGTAAATCAGTTATGACTGGATCTTATAATAGTAATTTTATGATTTATCCAGATGTTACAAATCCTAATAATAATCAAGGTGATGAAATTATTTTACAAGCTGATAGATCTGCTTTCAGATCTAAAAAGCAACAACAACATCAATTAAATAAAAGAAAAAATGGTATACCAACAATGTTGAAAAGAGATTTAGAATTAGATAATATTGATTTTAAAAAAAGTATATTACATTTATCATGGCATCCATTTGAAAATTCTGTTGCAATTGCTGCAACAAATAATTTATATATTTTTTCAACTTTATGAATGATTTTAATATAATGGTTTAAACTTTTAACTACAATATTTGTATTTCATAAACATAAAATTTTTCCATATAATGACTATTTAATTTTTAATTTGTTTCCTCGAATATCATATAAATAAAGTATATTTGTAAATAGTTTGATTAAAATTAATCAGATTTTGGATGACGATTAATAACAGGATTCCAAAATAAAGTTTTATCACCATCACCCCAAAAGAAAGATTTTGATCTAATATTTTGGAAATCATATTGTTTTGGCCAATCTTCATCAGAAACATGAGCTAAATGTTCACGATGTTTAGCATGAGCAGCTTCAACATAATATGTATTAATAGCAGTAGCAACAATAGCAGGAGCAGCAATGAAGAATGAGATTTTTCTCCATAAATTTGTAGTACCTTCAGCATGTTCTTTTTCATGTTTTGCATGAGATTTAAAAGCTTCAGCAGCTTTCTTGTCACCACCTTTTGGATAAGCTTGTTCAAAAGCCCATGGTGGTAATTCTTGATGATGACCGTGATGGTTAGTTCTGATTTGTTGACGGATTGCTCCTCTTTGTTTAGAAATGACGTTTCTGAACATTGTTATTGTCCTTATTTTAACTCCTAGTATCTTCTTCTTCTTTTAATGATGTGATTTTTATTAATTTGATTTTTGAATTCGTTTTTTGTTGGTGATGTTTTTTTTAGGAAATTTCATTGGGTGGAATGTTGACTTCCTAATTGGGAAGTAAAAGGGAAAACACAACTACATAAAAAAACAATAAACATTAAATCAAATAGTCATAAATTCATAGCAAATAATATATAAACATAGTTCCAATAGTGCTAGGTTACATCGATTACCCCCTCATCTTACTAGTCTCATACCTCTTCAAAACATCATGCTCCACAATTTGATTCCCCTTTAATTGATTCCCAATAGTAAACCAACCAAATCTTGTATTATGATCTCTACCAAATATTTCTAATTTACGTGCATGAGGTCCAACTAATCTTTCCATCATTCCATATAATTCATCAGGTTTTCTTGAAGTTTCACGAGTTCCACTAACTAGGATATCAGTTTCTAAATTTTTATTTAACCAATTGGGAGAACCTTTTATACCAATGATTAAATGTTCTTTGGAATGGTTTAGCCAATGACCTGTTCTTCCTGTACATATAGTTCTACCCAATTGATTTGTCTTTATCCAAATAATTTCATTTGAAACTTTATACCCCCAATTAACCAATGCTTTTTTACCAATTTCAATAGTCCTACCAGTGACCCAAAGACAAATAATACCTTCATCTTGTATTGAACTTAATGGTAATGAATTTAATTCAGTATCATTACAAGTTCCATAAGGTAAATTCATATGAATATTCCAAGCAGGATCTGCTATAACAACTGCAAATTTCCCCAATATTGAGAAATCAAATTTTCGAACATCACAATTTATCCATTGTGGTGGTAATACTGGTCTTGAAATTGTTGCTGTAGATCCATTAATATTCCAAAATGATGTTTTTTGGTTTTTGATGATGGTGGAATTAAATTCATTACATTTTTGTTCCACAGAGTTTAGGTATTCTTGTGGTATATGTTTTTGATAATGAATATAACGACATGTATCCATTTTATGACATGTATCTAAATAAGAACAATCACCTAAAGAGGCATCTGTATGGTTTTTAATCAATGGGATGAAATGTATTTTGGTTTGGAAACATTGGGTGTTGGTTTTTGTTAGATGAATATGTTGTTGATTATTACAAATTTCAATGAATGGATACTTGGGGGTTGTGAATTTTAATTTTTCTTTTGATAATTTTGTAGAAGTTGATGTGTAGTTGATAAGGGAGTATAATTTTATTAAATCTGGGTTGTTATTTGGTTTTAATAAATCTTGTAATTGATCTAATTGTGATGTTGATGATTCTTTCTTTATAATTGGGTTTGAAATTTCATTTGAATTATTCAATTTTTGCAATAATATATCTAGATTTAAAGTATTTATGAATTCAATTTCTTCCTGGTTTGTATTAGATCTGAATTGAATTATAAATGGATCAATTTTAATTAAAAGATTTAATTTTTTAATAAATTCTTCATATTCAATACCACCATTATATTGATTCTTGAAAAGCGTGAAAATTGTGTAGATACATCCATTGATTGGTTGGTTTATGAGTAGTCTATGGTGATCTTTTAAGAATGATATTAATTGAAAATCAATCATTATAGAACAATGATCTTTTAAATGAAAAGTAAAAAAGTATTCAAATTTTATGGATTTCCTTCATTATTTATATTGGAAATCAAATTCATCAAAACTGTTTCAAATTCGCGTTTATATAAGAAAATTAAAACCATGAAAAATTAAATACAAAATATCACCAATATCAATATCAACAAGATACTAAAGATCACTATCAATTATAAACAATGTCTAAAATCACCACATTCACATCATACCAATCACCTTCAGAATCAATAGACTCCATATTACCAGACTTATCTCAATTCAAAGGACTTGATCAATCCAATGCTATAAAACAAAGTAAAATAGGTGCAATCCCAATATATAAAAATCAATTACATTTAATAAATAATAATAAACAAAATCTTAAAGCTTTTAAAGAAACCGATGAAAATAATGAAGTTGATCAAATGAGTGTTACTAAAGAACAATATGAATTATCAAAATTCTTAGAATTAAAATCATTTAAACCTCAAGGATTAAAAGATCAATTAATGGAAATTGTTATAAAAGGAGTTAAAATATTAAATAATTTAATAATTGAACAAGTATTGAATTATTTAACCACAGGGGAATATGTTTGGAGTTGTATTGATGGGAATAATCAAGATAAGATTATATTCATAAGGTTTATTAATGAAGATGGTTTAGTAAATTTATCTCAAATTAAAAAATTTTTGGGATTGAATGGATTTAAATATGATGATTCTCAATGGGAAATTTGTATTGAAGATAATACTGAAAATTTGATAAATGATTCACAAATAACTGTTGATAAATTGGATCAAGAAGGGTTAAGGAATAAGATTAATGAATTATTAGAAGGGTCAAAATTAGAAAAACCTATAGATCATGGATTAGATTATAAAATTGATGAAATGGAATTAATTGATTTACCACAAGATGTATTACCACAATTATATAAAGATATTAAAGAATTTAGATTAAAAGTCCTTGAAAATGAACGTAAAAAACGTGCTAAAGAATCTTTGGAAGAATTAAAAAGGTCAAAGGGTCAATTAAGAAAATTATTTGAAAAATTTCAAAATGAAGAAAGTGAGATTGTGGAAGATGATGATGATAGTAGTGATGAAGATGATTTAAATGATGAAGATTATGAAAAGGAGCAAATTAATTTACAAAAAGAAGAAATGTTAAAGAATTATAATAATAAATTGAAAGTAGTTGAACATGAAGAATCTTATAATCAAGAATTAATTGAAAAATTTAATGATTTAAATAATTATGAAAGAAGTTTAAATAAAGATATTAATGGTATGGAATTAGGTCAATTTAAACCATCAAATAGAGATAAAATCATGGAAGAAGATATGGATTCAAAAGATCGAGAAGAAGAAAAACATCAATTAGAGATTAAATCTCAAAGTATGAATTTCTTGGAAAGTATAAATATAAACATTCCATTAAAACAAAAAGAACAAGTTACTATAGATGACTTGGATGAATCACAATTGGAACAAGTATTAACAAGATTAAAACCAATTATTAACCAAATAATTCAAGAATTCTTAGGAACACAAGAAGATGAATTATTAGAATATATCTTAGAGATTATTAAAGATACAAAAAGTAAAGTTGAATTAATTAAAGAATTAAATGAAACATTTGATGAAGATTCTATTAAAATTGGTGATAAAATATGGTTAAACTTGGAAGAACAGATAACATTGTTATAAATAATATATAATTTCCCCTGAAGATCAAATAATCTAATCGATAATCATTTAAATCTGATCATCTTATACTTTAAATTCTCCATTTATAAATTCTTTAATTTAATTGGTTGTATTTTCTCCTCTTGATGGTACGTTTTTCAAGTGGATTACTCCATTGGGTAATGGGCATTGAATAATTATTGCGCAATTACTACATTCAGTAATTTCCTATAATAACACATCACGCAATTACCACATTAAGTAATCATTTACATAAAATCATTCGTTTTTCACATTTTAATTGGTTATTTTTGAATATTCTCATAAACCATTATACATAAAACTACTTTTAAAGGAATTTTCGGTAAACTTTGAGGAATTTAAATATAAATATGATTTTATTACCATGTTTTATTTCAATATTATTAATATCATTGTTCTTTATAACTCTCATAATTATTGCAATGGGTCTTAATTTATCAGATCAATTAGTTTTTTACAAATCTTATCATTATAATACCATAAATGTCTTGATTCATTCAATATTTGTTCCAATAATTTTATTTGTTTCAAGTGGGTTATTAACAAATTTAAAAAGTGATTTGATTCCAAATGATTATTTTAATGCTAGTTTAATTATGAGTATTGGATATTCTGCATTCTATTTATACCTAGATTTAATTGGTGGTTTGATTGCAACTCCTATATTACTATCATCATCAATTTATTTTACTCAGTTGACATCAAATGAAACAATAAAAAGTTCAATTAATCATATATTCATCATGTTATTCATCATCAGTTGGATTGTTCAATTCATTGGTCATGGAGTTTTTGAAAAAAGAGCTCCTGCTTTATTAGATAACTTGGTTCAAGCTTTAGTTTTAGCTCCATTTTTTGTATTATTTGAATTAATGTTTTTATTGGGATTTAGACAAGAGTTAAAACATGAAATTGATTCAAAAGTTGAAATTAATATTCAAAAATTTAAAGAATCAAAGAAAAACTAGTTGTTTATTTATATTTATTTTATGAGTTTATGAATTGTATTTTTTTGTAGTTTATTATGTTTCACAGCGATAACGGAATTGGAATCCCGTTAAAGGTGTAAAGATTAAGTATGATTCATACAACCAGATAATGAAAAAAAAAATATATTTTATTGTGAGATAAACAACTGATTTTATAGTATTAAAGTGATCTTTATTGATTACAAGTTCAAGAATAATGGTACTACTAGATATCATTCAATCAATTACATCCAATCCATCCACTTCAATAGATCTCTTATTATCAAAATCTATAACATTCCCATTGTTATGTCTCGTCATCTATAAAACTATTGCAAAAGAAGTCAAACATAAACCAACTGATAACAAAAACAATGATAACCCAATAATCAATTCCCCTAAGAGATATAACTCAGTAGAATCTGAATTCCAATGGACCCAAGCAGAACCTTATAGATATAGACCTTTTAAAAAAGGTGAATATAAATTAGTCATGGGAATTCATAATATCGAACCAGATGAATGGTTTCTTGTCGAGAATACTTATAAAGATTATACCACAATAAAATATGGTACTGTATCAACACCAAACTTAACAGATCATTGTGTATTCATGACTGAAGATTGTATCCCTACTGTGATTGAATTTTATCAAGAAACTACAAAATTTATGCTTGAACGTTATCCAATGTGTTTTAAAATTGACCTTGACCAGGGGAAAATATTAAATTTGATTAGAGGTGATTCTATCCCATTAGATCCATATTCTATACCACCAAAGGAATTATTACATTGTTTATCAAGATTTATTGAAGAAGATTTCATCTTAATGTTCCCAGATCCTAAGGGACATAATACAGATGAATATATTTTCAAAGGTGGTGTTTTTGCATTCGCTGCAGGTTTTGACCCAATAGAAAGATTTCAAAAACCATTAACAGAAATTCATGGCCCAGTTCCAGAATATCGTACAAAACTTAGATCACAAATGAATAAATTTTTTGAAAAATTAAAACCTGGTTTATTCGTTAAGAGAAATAATTGGTCTATTCAAACTCATAACAAAATATTTGTTATTGATGCCAATAAAGGTACAGAAGATGAAGAAATCAAGAGCCTAAACCCAGATCACCTAGACTTCAAAAGACAAGTTTATTTTAGATCTGAACGTCAAGTATTAACAAGATTACCAAAAACTCAAAGTATAGTTTTTTCCATTAGAACTTATTTAACACCAATGTGGAAAATTAGAGAAGAAGGTCTTGCTGATGAATTAGTGGGTGGGATCCAGGGGATGCAAGAAGTTATTGGTCAATATAAAAGAAGACCTGAATGGGGGGATGCTGTTGTTAAGTTTATGAATTGGGAAAGTGATGGTTGTGATAGGCCTGAGATTGGTCCATTACATAGTTAATATTGTAACCTTGAAATAAAGTAAGATAAATTTTGAAACGTATGATATGATTTATAGAATTTGTATATAGTGAATTAATACAATAAAATTAATATAATCAAAAGTATTTTATACGTAAATTTAAATGATTAATGGTTATAAAATTCATAAAAATTCATATCCAACTGTCATTTTTCATAGTGTTTTTTCAAAAAGTTTATACCCGGTATTTAATACTCAATATTTTCACATTATAATTAAAAAACAATCAATCAAAAATACCAATAAATATACCACATACAATGAAGAAAAGACAATTAAGAATACTAGAAAGCTCCATTCACATATCTCCTACATTATCTAACCATCCAGAAAATATCCAAAGACTTATAATATATGCAAAATTCATGAGATTAAAAAAATTCATATCAAGAAGAACATTCATCCAAACAAATTATAAAAACTACATAAAAGAACGGATTCATTCTCCAATACCAAATTTATTAAAAACTTTAAACTTAATGACAATGGCTGTCTCAGAAAACCCAGGTCAAAAGGATATGGATTTATTTTTAGCTAAGAAGATCTTGGATAATTTGATTGAATATCAAAATTCCAAACAAGGGTTTATTAATAAGAAATTGAATGCTAAGTTTGTTCCTGATTTAATCCAGGGGAGGTTTGATAAGAATGTTGTTTTTGAGAGTATGAGGAAGTATGAGGAAGTTGTTAAGGGTTTGAATAGATCTTTAGGGACGTGTTTGTAAAGACTATAAAGTTTGATTTAGCGAATAGCTAAATTAAACGTAATCTACACCAATTTTATAAATAAATAAACTGTATATATAATGAATTAATGAATAAACACACCATTTTTAAAAAAACACAGGTGGATAATCCTTCTTTATTAATTTTATCTTCCCATTCATAAAATCTCCAACAGGTTTCCCCAAAAAGAAAATCAAATTAAAATCATAAATAATTTTACATTCTCTTCTTGCCATCAAAGTATTATAAACATTTTCATCCCAATCATCTTCAAAATTTCCATCATGTTCAAATAATGATCTTGTCTTATGAAATTCAATAATTTCATTCCAAACTGTACAACCTTTTGATAATTTAAAATCAAATATCCCTAAAAGGGAACAAAGATAATACATAATTTTAACAACGACTTTATTCCCCTGTGTGAATGCTGTTAATAAATCTTCATCTAGGAATACTTCTCTTATTGGATGGATCAATGCCATTGGATAAGATTGATGAATAGCTTTATGACAACATGATTCAATTCTTGAAATCAAATTAAAACAACTAATTTGTAAAAAATCTAATGGATCTAGGTTTTGAGAAACATAATTCCTAAGATGGATTGACCAAATGAATGGTTCTTGTATCGGGGTAGAATAATCATGACCAAACATATTTAAATATTTTGAGTTTTTTAAAGAAGAATAATTTAAATTTAGGATTAATTGGAATTGTTTAAAAATTTGAATCATTTCAAACATTTTAAAATGTGAAATATCTTTTAATTTTGGATCCAATGGGTATTTAACACTTTCATTTGACAACATACCACATGCAACTGTTAAACAAAGATTTGAAATTAATATTTGTCCCACAATATCTGAAGAATCTTGGAATGCATCATTTGAGGGATTTTCATGGAAAATTGATATTCCATTACCAAGTATAGTTTGATACATATTCATTAATTCATAAGTCTTGTTTAAATAATGTTTAGCTTGTTGGTATAAATTAATACTTGATGAAGAACTTATTGATGATGAATTTTTAACAATTTGTGAATTTGAATTATCATCATATTCAATATGAATATTTTGAAATGAAGATTCTTCATAATTTGCTAATAATCTAACACTACTCAACATATAAATGGAATTTTTAATTAAATCTGATTGACACCATAATTGAGGTACTTCAAATTCCCAAAAATTATGAGTTTTTTCCAAGACATTAAATGTAAAAAAATCTGCACCAAATTCTAAATAAAATTTTAATAAATTTAATTGAAATGGTGTTATTTCTAATTGAATTTGTGGAGAATTTAAATTTTTATTTGATTTTGAATTTATTAATTGTAAATCTGGTGGTGTTGAACTAGAACTTGTACTTCTTGAACTTATATCAATTTTATCCTTTGAATCACTGCTTTCAACTGTTTCACCTGAATCAACAGACTCCTTAGATTTCTTTCTTGGTCTACCCAATTTTTTCTTAAATACTTTAATCTTAACTGATGGTTTTTGGAAATAAATACATTGTCTCCCTGTGTGAACACAATATTCACAAAATGGTTTCTCTTCAGTACATTTGATTTTAAGATTCTTACAACTGACACATCCATTTTTGGATCTTTTGGAAATTGTGGAAGTTTTGTTAGTTGCATTTAAATCTGTATTATTATTGTTGTTGGTATTTGATGATTGAGGTTTGGACATATAATAAGGACTTTTCTTTTCAATGAGAATTTGATAATTAGACAATGAGACTTTCTTTAACTTCTTCTTCTTTAGTCTTTGGATTTGACTAATATTATGAGTAATTCTTTAAAATTTCCTTTATCACTGAGTATTTTCTAGTTTCTTAATGGAATTAAAAGTTTTATATAAATAGAATTTTTTATGACTATAATAACCAGTGCTTAGTCATCTCAATGAGTAATAAATTCACAATTTCAATTAATTACTATTTGAAAAGTATTTAATAGTTATTTATTTGAATTATTTGAATGATAATTGATCAAAAGACTTGTTATTAAATGAAATCACTAATTTGTTAAAAATTTAGATCAGCTTAAGATTCTTTTGTACTCGATTCTTATCTTACATATTAATTGAATCTTAACTATGATATCTTTTCAAATCTCCTTAAGACATTGGCAGGTCATTGATTGATTATACTCTTAATAATGGCAGTTATCATTACCATCAGACAGATTATATATAGTCTATTCATAAACTCATTTAATCTTTAGTTTTGAATAGAAATAAAGTATTTCAAAGCTCAATTCCTTAATTCTTATCAATTATACCGCTTATGTAATCATGATAATAATATAATTTAATTTAATTAATTTAAAAACTTTGTATGACATTATACTATAAATTAATTGATTATATATTCATTAAGTCAGTATTATCATATTTACATAATTTTTAAGTACATTTTCCATTAGAAAAACTTTAAACTTTATAATTTTTCAAATAAAGTATATTTTAATAATTTTAATTTATTTTTAAAAATAGATAAACTTCAAAAAATCAAAATTTCATATAACACAGTTTTAGAATATAAAAACTATTTAATAATAATATTTGGGTCTTAATTACCATACTATTATTTTAAAATAATATCAATTGCATACAATCTTTTTGAATTAAATTAAATTTAAATGTTGAGTATTATAGACAGGGTTACCCTTTAGATTTCGACCTACATAAGATACCAAAAGTATATAGAAATAATTAAATGACTCTGGTTTCGGTTTAAAGGTAACTACTTGATCAGATAATGTTTAATCATAGTATATCATAGTATTCATAAATTCATTAATATCGTTTATATATATAAGCCCACACCTTTTAAAAAAAAACATCTGAATTACTTTTAATTTCAGAAATAAATCCCATATCACCATTTAAAAATTCATTAATTGGTTTACCTAAATAATAAATTAAATTAAAATCATAAGGTAATAACCCCTTAATTTTAGCTTTTGTCATATCATGGAAATTTTTATCAATTTCATCTTCCCATCCTCCTTGAAATTTCTGTATTGAAATTTGTTCATAAAATTTTATAAATTCATCATGCATTAAATTTTTTTGAAAAATTTTATAATGATAAATAAAATTTAAGATACAAACATAATTTAAAATTTTTAATGATAATTGATCTTTTTTCAATAATAATTGTAAAAAATCATAATCAATACATAATTCAATTATAATTTTAAATAACGCAACTGGGAATTTAAAATTTAAAGTTCTAAGAACTCCAATTTCAATTTTGGATATAGCATCAAGATAAACAATATATGAAACATCCAAGGGGTCAATATGTCTAGAAACATAATCTCGAAGATGTTGTATAAATAAAAATGTCCCATTTGATAAAATTAATTCATCATTATTAATTTCAATTTCAATATCTCTAACATGATCATACTTGGTATTTGTTAGTTTAAATTCTAATGGATGAATAAATTTAAAAAATTTATTTGTATCAATCATTAATTGAATAATTTGTAAATTTTCAACTTGGGGTAAACCAAAATCATCATAAATTATAGGTTTGGGTACTATTAATTTTGCACCTGATAATGCCTTTTTAGCAATATATAACTGTCCCACTATATCAATAATATCAAAAGAATCAGGATTTAAAGTCATGGTATATAAATTCATTAATTCTTCAACTTGATTAATATACCTGGAAACTTCTTGTGATAAATTTAATTTTAAATTTTTTCTAGGTTGAGTTTCATCTTCAAATTCAATATAAATATTTTGTAAATCATCATATTTATAATTTGCTAATAATCTTGCTGAAGTAACTGCATATATAGAATTCTTGATAAGATCTGAACAACACCATAATTGTGGTACTTCATTACCCCAAAAATTCATTGCATTTTGATTAACATTAAATGTGAAAAATTCTGTACCAAAATCCAAGTAGAATTTAAGTAATTTTAATTCAAATTTTGTAACATCTAATTGTATAGTCATTGAATTTAATTTTTGTAAAGGTTTATTATTAATTCCAATATCTTGTATTAGATCATCTTGAATATCTTTATCTTTAATTTCAGGTTCCTTTGGAACTGATTTCCTTTTAACAACTTTTAAGGGAGCTTGAATAGGATAAACACATTGTTTATTTGTATGTCTGCAATATTCACAAGTTGGTTTACCTTCATTACATTTAATTTTTAATTTTTTACAACTTAGACAACCATTCTTGGATCTTTTATGTTTTGGTTCTGGTAATTTTGGAGGTCTTTGTTTGGGTATTGAAGCTTTTGATGACTTGGAAGAACGTGAAGAGCGTGAAGACCTTGATGACCTGGATGACCTGGATCCTGATGAAGAAGATGAAGATGTTGAAGTTCTTGATGACACAGTGATAGCGCCACTCGTTGATTCCATTGTTCTTGATAACCGATAACACCAATAACCTATAACCAAATAACCAAATAACCTGTAACAATAATATAACAATAACCAATAATAACCGTAATACCACCACCAATAAACCACTCAATCAATTCACTTTGACCACCAAAAAAGAATCAAAAAGAATCAAAAACTTCTTTTACTCGTAAATATTCAAACACCTCAAAACAATAAAATAAAATAAAAAAACGTTTAATTATGACTCGTGTCGCTTTGTCAGAGATTATGTAATACATATACCGGATTTACAAGGAATTTTAATAAGAACAAAGGATTTATATATTGTTTAATAAATAGTTAAGTTTAGTTCTATGGAGTGTCTTCAATAGATTGGTTACCGGATGGTTCAACTTGTTCAACTTTCTTACCATTTCTAACAGTTAACAACACAAAAAAAGCTAATCCACAAGCCCCATAAACCAAATAAAAATTTTGTTTAAATTTATCATGTAATTCTAATCTATTCTCCCAATTCTCATCATATTTAATATCACCATTTATAGTAGAAATAATAGTATTCCCAAAACATATCCCAATCTGTCCTGAAGTTTGGAAAATCCCCGAGACAACACCTTGTAAATGTAATGGAGTATCTAAAGCATAATCATTCCATAATATTTGAAAATAAAGATTTATACCATATCCAATGAAAAACATTGCAAAACATTCATATTTCCAATATGAGTTTGTAGATTGGAAATTTAAATAAGAATTCCATATACTCATTGTTATTATAATTATTGAAGAACTTGTATAAACTAATCTTATACCAATTTTTTTAACTATATGATGTTTATAAATTGATGAACCAAATAATAAACCTAATGATATAGGTAATGCTTTTAATCCACATATTATAGGGGAATCTAATTGAACATATTGATTATATTGAATATTTGTTGTCATTATACTTATTAAACTCATATAATAAAGAAAACTTGTGATTACGTATTGTGGGAAATTTGGGATTTTTATAACTTCACCTGGGAATAATAATTCTAGTTTATATCTCCAGTCTTTCTTGAGTGATTGTTCTAATGATTCTTCATCCTTCATTGTTAATTCTTTATCAACTTTATTTTTGAAATTTTGAATATAAACCATTTCAAATAATATAACACCTATGGTTATAATCCCACCAATGATTAAAGGTACATATGACCTTGGATGATGCCATGATTCACCACCTTCTGTTAAACCTAAAATCATCAAGATTAATCCAATAACAAGTAGCAAAGAACCACCAAAATCTAAATTTTTAATACTTAATTTTTCATGTTCTTTAGTTGGAATTATTGGTATAGCATAAAACCATAAAATAACAGATGAAATAAACCCCAATGAAAATGTAAAATAATATAAACCTTTATAACCAATCTTTGTTTCTGAAAAGGCACCACCAAGAATTAATCCAACACCTAAACTTGCAGTAATTGACATTAATAATAAACTAATAGCTTTTGATAAACTTTTTGTACTATCTTGGAAATAATTCCCCGTTATGGCAAAAGCAGATGGTATTAAACTTGAAGCAAATATACCTTGTAATGCTCTAAAAACAATTAAAACAATAATTTGATCATCAATCACAGCAGTTATTAAAGCCATCAAACTTTGTCCTAATAAACCATAGATGAATATATTATGAGCACCAAGAATATCTGATAATTTACCTGCAATTATGATACATGCCCCTAAAGTTAATGCATATGAGGCAAGGACCCATGAAGTTGTTGTTGTTGAAGATTTGAATTGATTTGATATGGAAAAAATTGAAGTTAATGTACCTGAAACGTTTATATTATCTAATGTAACATTTAGTAATATTATTGTATAAACTAAGAGTTTATTTCTTTTGTTCAAGGGGATTATTGATTGTAATTTATTAATTGATTTAGATATTGACATATTTAATTGTGAACTTAATAATATCAATCATACTATATAATCTTTCCAATATTTAATGGATATAAAGACAATTTTATAGTTATAACACCAATTACAGTTGAATAAAGCATCAATTGAGATATCCCGACTAGAACCATTGTGATCCATTGTCTTAATTACAGTGAACCAGTTTGATACCAGTGTTCTATACCATTGTTATACCAGTTTTGTATTTGATTGGAAATAAAATTAATTTAATACCTGAAAAATTTCTTAAAAGCTGTATATTTCAATGTGTAATTTGTTATATTTTACAGCTGTCAAAATAGTTTAATTAGTAATGAAATTTAAATTGTTGATTTATTGTGTTAATAAAGTGATATGATGTGGTTTATAATGGTTGATAGTGTAAATTAAGTCAATGTGATATTGATTATCCATTTTAATCCATTTTAAACCAATTTAATCCAAGTTTTATTGACATTTTTTTCAATTTATTGATTTCAAATAAACATTATACTGTGTTCACATGATATTCACGCGCAGTAAACTATACCCTTTTCATTTGTTTAAAACTACACTTTATTAATTGTATCAGTTATCATTATTATTATTATTCTTTATTATTTTGATTCCTCAATTTCATCTTCAGTTTGTCTTGGTGGCCAAACTTTAGCAGTAATTAATCCACCAGCACCTCCAGCAGCAGCTCTAATTAAATAAGTCCCCAATGCTAATTCCATATCAAGGTTTTCAGATTGAGCTAATTCAGTTAAGTCATAATGAACACTTCCATCAGTATTATTCTGAATAATAAATCTTCCAACACCATCTAAATAGTATTCTTCATCATTTGGACCAAAAACAGTTTCATTTATAATTCGAACAGAATTTAGTTCTTCTGGTCCTGTGTAGAAAAAACCCTCATATATGATTTCTAGTGCTGAACAGCCAGCTAAGCACAGTGAGAGTAAGCTCAAGAGGAACTTCATTAGATGATGGGTTTGATTACGGTCAATAGAACCATTGAAGGAGGAATTTGCAATGCGTTTAAAGCGAAAACAACCATTAAGCACAGATCACGCGAATTTCCATACAAACCATCAACTTACTAAAGGACTATAGGAATATACTGAATAGTAGGGAGTCTGTACATGATAGAAAGTAAATATATCATATCACAAATAGTCTCTAGACTGCCCTATAATACTAGTTGTTGTACTTGTCTCACCTTAGTTATGCCCGATACTCGTAATTGAGTTTGACAGGATATTCACATACATTAAATCAACAATTTTGTAAAGACGGTAAAGAATCAGCTATCAGACCATATTATATTGAGTATTAAAGAACACTAAGTCAATCAATATTCTATTACCACCTCAATTGACTCTTTCCCTTCTTTTACCTCCCTTTACACTGACTTTGATTAAACCCTGATAAAGGTTTATGCCCCAAGATGTCTTAATGCAAACATACATTAAATCAACAAATTGCTCAACACCACAGGAAACACAAGAACATTTAAATAAAGTCCATCATAACAGCATAAATCATGAAGAAATATGTTGATATTGATATTCATTAGGTTGGCTATACATTAGAAAGCGTACATGTATCAAATGGTTTCTAATCTTCATCTTTAAGGCATTACACTGAATTATATGAATTATGCACTAGTGTTTCTTTCATTTGAGTTGATTTATAAAGTAATTGGATCAATGTGCTCCTTGGAACCTTGGTTAGTCAATCGAAGGGTGAATATAATAGCAATTTTGACATAAATCATCTCGTGGTTTGTACTAAATGTTATTCTTAGTGCATAACGAATACCCTTCATTACCCCTTTCCATTGTTCAATTGAGTCTTGGAAATGATATATAAGAAGTGATTAAATCCTTTGAATTATACTTACTTTCTCTACTTATATATCATCATCAAGTTCAATTAACAAAAATGTCTACTGAAAAAATTTCATTCTTATTAAATTGGCAAGCTACACCATATCATATCCCAATTTATATCGCTCAATTGAAAGGTTATTTCAAAGAAGCCGGTGTTGATATTTCCATCTTGGAACCATCAAATCCTTCAGATGTCACTGAATTAATTGGATCTGGTAAGATTGATATGGGTTTAAAAGCTATGGTTCATACTTTAGCTGCAAAAGCTCGTGGTTTCCCAGTCACTTCTGTTGGTTCTTTATTAGATGAACCTTTTACTGGTGTTTTATATTTGGAAGGTTCAGGTATTACACCAGATTTTACTTCATTAAAGGGTAAAAGAATTGGTTATGTTGGTGAATTTGGTAAAATCCAAATTGATGAATTAACAAAACATTATGGTATGACTCCAGATGATTATACTGCAGTTAGATGTGGTATGAATGTTGCAAAATTTATTATTGAAGGTAAAATTGATGCAGGTATTGGTATTGAATGTATTCAACAAGTTCAATTAGAAGAATATTTAAAAGAAATAGGTAGACCTTCCTCAGATGCTAAGATGCTTAGAATTGATAAATTAGCTGAATTAGGTTGTTGTTGTTTCTGTACCATATTGTACATTGTTAATGATAAATTCTTAGAAGCTAATCCTGAAAAAGTTAAAAAATTCTTAAAAGCTATCAAGAAGGCAACTGATTATGTTCTAAGTGAACCAAAACAAGCATGGGAAGAATATATTGATTTTAAACCAGAATTAGCAAATCAATTATCTTCCAAGATGTTTGAAAGATGTTTTGCTTATTTCTCAGATTCTTTATATAACGTTCATAGAGATTGGAGAAAAGTCACAGCTTATGGTAAAAGATTAGAAATTTTACCTGAAGATTATAAATCAAATTATTCAAATGAATATTTATCATGGCCTGAACCTGAAGAAGTTAGTGATCCAACTAAAGCTCAAGAATTAATGTTGGAACATCAAGAAGAATGTAAAGCTTGTGGTGGGTATAGAAGATTAGATTTATCTTCATTAGCTCCAACTGCTCAAAAGGCTTAACCTCTCTTTTATTCCTTGACTCAGAACTACTGGTAGTTTTTAAAGTTTATTGAAATATATGAAATCTTTATTATATTAACTTTTATTTTCATTTAACCGTAGTATATGCCTATTTACCCGAAGATATAAAACACCCTGTTAAATCTATATCCATAAAAACAAATGACTTCCCCAAATTATCCTTGAGAGCTCTATAAACCATAGACCCTTAGTTTCCAGTATGTCATTTGAACAAAAAAACAGTTTTATAAAATTAATAAACATACCAACTCACGATGAATACGATATCCCAATTCAAGTATTTAAAGGTGGTGTTTTAGTTGATCATCATAATCAACCAAATTATATATCTCAACTTTTTAATGAAACTAATATCAATGGATTGATAATAAATAAACCTTGGTCTGAAAAATTCGATGAATTGAAAGAAGGTGATGTTGCTTATGTTATTAATATTGATGATTTGGAAAGAGTTGAACAAACAGCTTCCGGTGATATTGTTGATATAAGTCAATAACTACAATACATTTTTTTATATTTTGAATATATATTTCATTATCTATCATAAAAATTTAAATTATTTTGTTTCTTCTTTCTCTTTTTCTTTTTCTTCTTCCTTTTCAGCAGCTTCAAGATCTAAATTTTCTTGAATATTCCATAATTCTGAATATAAAGAATCTGGTTTTGCCAAAAGCGAATAATGATCACCTTCTTCTCTTACTGTACCTTTATCTAAAACAATAATTTTATCACTATCAGCCACAGTTCTTAATCTATGAGCAATACTAACATTCGTATTTTCATGTTGTTTAAAAATTGTTCTTATAGTCTTTAATAATGATTGTTCAGTATGTGTATCAAGGGCACTTGTAGCTTCATCAAAGAATGTAATTGGTGATTTTTTGAGCAATAATCTTGCAATTGCTAATCTTTGCTTTTCACCACCTGAAATCATCATACCACGTTCACCAACTATAGTTTCTAAACCTTCAGGTAAATCTTTAATCAATTTATCTAATTGAGCTTCTTTAATAACTTGTGAAACTTCTTCATCTGTTGAATTTAAATTACCATATCTAACATTTTCAATTATTGTATCATTAAATAATGGAGTATCTTGTGGGACAACACCAACTGCTTGTCTTAATGAATCTAAATCAACTTCACGAATATCTTGTCCATCAATTAAAATTCTACCTGATTGAATATCATAAAATCTGAAAACTAATCTTAAAATTGTTGATTTACCTGAACCTGATGGTCCTACAATGGCAACTTTTTCACCACCAGGTATAGTAAATGATGCATTATTTAAAATTGGACGATCTGGATGATAACCAAATGTAACATTTTCAAATTTAATTTCACCTTTTGTTAAGTTTAATGGTAATGCATTTGGTTTATTTGTAATTTTAATTTCATTTTTTTGTAATTTAAATAAAGTTTCCATATCTAATAATGATTGTTTTAATTCTCTATAAACTGAACCTAAAAAGTTTAAAGGAACTGATAATTGGAAAACTAATTGATTAATCAAAACTAAATCACCAACGGTTAATGCACCTGTTGCAACACCATCTGCAGCCATATACATCATTGCAGTTAATGCACTTGTAAAGATCAAATTTTGTCCAGAATTTAAAAAGGCTAATGATGTAGCGATTTTAATTGAATAATCTTGATATTTGGCTAATGCATTATCATATTTTTTAGCCTGATAAGCTTCATTATTAAAATATTTAACACTTTCAAAATTAATTAAGGAATCTAATGCAACACTAGCAGCTTGATTATCAGCTTGATTTGCCTTTCTTCTGAACCCAGTTCTCCATGCTGTAGTTCTTATAGTGAATATAGAATAAGCCATCATGGTTAATAAAGCAACAGCTGCAAATTTTGCACCATAATTATAAGTTAAAATCCCTGAAACAATTGAAATTTCAAAAGTTATAGGTAAGATATGGAAAACCATTGCTGTTAAAACATAAGAAATACCTTTTGTACCACGATCAATAGCTCTAGTTAATCCACCAGTTTGTCTTGATAAATGGAAACCTAAATCTAAATTCAAAAGATGTTTGAAAGTAGTTTGTGCAACGTTTCTAATTGCAGATTGGGCAACTGTTGCAAAAATTGCATTTCTTAATTCACCAAATAAGACAGCACCAAATCTTGCACCACCATATGCAAGGATTGTACCACCAATAATTGCCGTGACAGTACCAACTTGATTAGTCCAATCTATATTCATACCATCAATAATGGATTTGAAGAAGAATGGAACTTGAACATTCAACACTTTTGCTAAGATTAATAAAGACAATGCAATGACAACTCTAACTTTAAATGAAAATCTATCCTTTGGCCATAAATAAGCTAATAAATCTTTAATAATTTTCAATTGTGATAATTTTTCAGATTGATCCACTACAGGTTTGGAACTGACTTTACCCTTTAATATACTTTTCCATGGTGATGAAGTTGATAAGAATCTATTTGAATGGAATTTATTTAATAAGATTGATTTGTTATTCGAAAAAATTGATAAATTTGTTAATTTTGATGGATGTTGAGTTTTTGATAAAGAATTGAAACATCTTGATGGTTTTAATTGATGTTGTACTTGTGGTTTCAATTTCAACAAATTTGATGGGAAGCCCAATGATCTCAACACAGTACTGGGATTCCTGAACCCAATCATCACTAACAGAAATTATCTGAGTTTCAATCAGTGTTTTGAATTGAATGTTGAATTTAATTGATAATCAAATTTCCACCTTATTAATTATTATCGACAAATCGCGGATACCGTTTGTGGCTCCGAGCAGAAATTATATACACAGTTTATAAGTTTATGAAGAAAGTTTAGGTAGAATTGGGTTGAGAAAGATGGTTTGTAGATGGAATGGGTCATAGGGTTATAGTGGTTGATGAGAAGATTCTTTTAGTTTTTAAACGGGGGTTGTAGGTGGTTTTTTCATAAAATTCCCATGATAATTGGTATAGGTATCAACAGATTATTATAATATTTACAAATTGATCAATTCCTTCATTTAAATATTGTACATTTGATAAACCAGAAGCTTCTAGACGTAAACACCAAAATAATTTGACAAGAAAACACTACCAAAACTGAAAAAAAACCAGTTGTTAGTATACTCATAATACCATATAATACTCATAATACCATAATACTCACCCTAAGAAGAATGAACCAAAGATACTCAAGACAATGAATCTTATACTGTTCCCCAATGATGACTTGTCACTTAGCACACCGAATGAAATGAATGAAATAGCTTTGAATAAGTGTTAGTACCTAATATGTTCAACTTTGATGATATCTAATATTACATACCAACGAATAATAAAATAGCGGCCAGGAACCCGTTTAAACCGTACTCAATTGGATTTTTCCATACAGGAGAGTTGGCGTACTCGATACTCAATGCGTCGTACTCTGCTGCACCCATTGTGATTAGATATTCTGTGGTTTGACTGTGTTGATTTGATTTGATTTGATGGTTTCTTTACGTGTTCAAATAATTCAAAATCAAATCGCGAATGAAAATAAAATTGACTTCAACGAAATTTATCAAAGAAGAACAGATCAACAGAATCTTACAAGAACAGAAGAACAGAGAACCAATATGAACTCACAAATCATCAAGAGAACAGTACTGCTAAGAAATAGAAATGCTACAAACCTCCATGTAATACGGTCTCTTTCTCATCAAGTCATCCCGGACCTAAAAGGCCTAGATAAAAGATGGTCCAAAATGAAAGAATTAGATCAAGCAGATGTTATAGATTATTTAAATTCCAAAACAAGTGGTGATTGGCATCAATTAACCACACAGGAGAAACAATCATTATATTATATTTATTATGGTAATTGGGGTCCAAGATCTGATAAACCTCAAAAGGGTGTATCTGCTATTGTTTTACAAGGTCTTTTTGGGGGTGTTTTAACTATTGCTATTGGTGTTGGGTTAATGAATTATGCTTTTGATTATGAACAAGGTGAAAAAGTTGATAATTTATTGGAAAGAATTGAAAAAGAGTCAAAATGATCTAAGAATTGATGGTCTTGTATATATAAAGAATAAATGAAATTGTTGAAATGTTATAATGTGACTCAAATACGTTAAAACCACCAGATAAAAGCCAGGAAATCCTCTCAATTAATATGAAAAGCTATACAGTGCTCATTATAACTTTTACTTTCCATTTATAAACATAATTTTACACTCAATTGTTATTAGTTACAAATCTTTGCTTACATAAACAAAATTTCCGCGATTTTCTTTTATACTTGCTTTTAAATCTGGGGAAAGTATATAAACAATAGCAAAACTCCTTTATGGAAACTGAGTGTATTGGAAGAACCAAGGTACTAATTGATTGTTAAAAATGATGTTAAGACAATCATTGAAAACAATCCCTCGTCAATTGAGAAGAACAATTACAACTTATGCCAAACAAGATCAATTATTCATTCATCCAAAATCATCAAATAAACATTTGTTATCATTCTCTAAAAATCCAGATTCTTTATCAATTGGTGAATTTTATTCAAAAAATCCAGAATCTCCAGACCTGGTAATAAACTCTGATAACTTCATATCAACAAACCCTGAATTCTTAAAATTATTACATCAAGTTATCAAAGATAATATTCATGATGATTTCACTTATTCAATAGAAAGTAATTCTTATGCTGATGAACATTTACCAGTTTATGATCTAAGAAAAATTCCAAATTATCAAAGACAACCTGAAATTGAAGATGTTTTTGGTTATGTTAGAGTTGATTCTGAGGGGGGAATTATGAATGAAACTTATCAAATTAATGATTTTTATAAAATTGTTAATGTTGATGGTCCTTTAAAATTGAGTGAAAAGATTCATGAAGAATTGGTTGGTCAGTTGGATGGTGGTTAGAGTCGATTTTATCATTTTACACTATTTATTATTTATTATTTATTATTTATTATTTAAACTATTTATTATCAATTTATTTATTACACACATATGATATCACTACAATTGTAAATTAACGAACGATATATTTAAACAAAATCATACAATCATTATATCCAAACCAAAACATATAAACACAGCTATATAGCACTTAAAATTATAAACCAAAATCATCACTTGTAATTAATAAAGAATCTAATTGATTCTTATCATTTAAAATTTCTATTAAAGATTTATTATGTTTAATTAATTTTTCTAAATTTGATATACTTGATTTTCCTAAACTTTTTAAAATTTCTGAATTTAATTCATCACAAATTTTTAAAATACAATCATTTGATAATAAATAACCAAATTCTGAATCTTCAGGTTTTTCAAAAGCTAATAAACTAAATATATCATTTAAAGATTCTTGAAATTTTTCATTTGTTTCATAATTTGATCTTAATGATTGACCAAATTTCATTGCTTCATCTAATTCACCTGATTTAATAAAATTTATTAATTTTTGACAATTTAATTGAAATAAAATTTCTAAATTATTTTCAAAAACTTTTGGGAAATTTAAATTTGTTAATTTTATTGAAGATTCAACATCTCCTTGAATTAAATATTTTCTAATTTGTTGACGAATTTTTAAATTATTTTCATCAATACTTGATATACTTTCAATTTTATTAAAATTTTTAATTAATGATTCATCAATTTGTTCATTTTTAATTTCTTTTAAAAAAGTTTTTGAAATATCAATATAACCTAAATGATTAAAATATGAACTAACTAAATTTTGTAAAATATTTGGAATTTCTTTATCAGTATGCGTATTAATTTTATTAATTGCATTATCTGATTTCTTAGTATAATTGAAAATTTTTTTATAAATTTTAACTTTTTCATCTTCAATATATCCATCAATATCAAAAATAAATTCATTTGAACCAAAATTTGAACTTATTGAATTCCCATTTTTTAAACCAATAATTGGAATTAATTCTTTATTTATATCTGTAAATGCATTACCCAAAAATACACCATTTTTAGTATAAAATATAGATTTTGTAGAAAAATTAACACCACATCCAATTATATCACCTTGACCAAATTTACAATTATATTTTTTACTTGCAGATTGAGAACAAATTATTGATCCATCTGATCCATTGAATCCATAACTACCAATTTCTAAACCTGGCATTTTAGTAACATTAACTAAATTTGAATTCATAAATCCAATAGTTATATCTGAATTATTTTTTAAATTATTATTTGTTACACTTAAAACTTTAATTTCAAAATAAAAAACTCCAACTTTAATTGGAATTGAATTATTTGTTTTTGTAACTAAATGATCATAATTTTTAGAAATTGATGATGATGAAGTTGGTGAATTATTATTACCATTTTGATCAATTTTCAATGTTAATCCATTATTACTAACAAGTAATGATTTATTTGTTGAATTTTCCCATTTTGTTGGTAATGAATATTTAAAGTTCCCCAAAGGATTTTGACCATTTGATAAAGAATGTAATTTATTAGTTTTAGAATTTTTTCTTGGATTACTTGATTGAGAAGATCTTGTTCTTGTTCTTCTTCTATTATTACCTCTAATTATTCCAGGACCACCAGTTACAGGACCAGAGCCAGAGCCAGAGCCTGTCCCACTTCCTGTTGAACTTGTAAAAGTTGGACGTAATTCATTATCATGTTCATCTTCTTCAAAATCAACATCCATTTCATCACCATAATGTATATTATGAACCCCTTCCTCATCTTCATCCTCCTCTTCTTCATCCTCTTCTTCCATTGGATCATCACTATGGATATCATCATCAATGACTGAATCATTACCAGCACTTGTTGAGCTTATAGCACCAGCACGATCATGATGAATTGAGGTATTGGATTGATTTGCATTTGAACCACTAAATATAGAAGCCAATTCAGAATCATAATCAGCATTTGAATATCTAGATGGCATATTCCCCATTATCCCCAGAGCACTTAGTTTACTAGTTATTGAATGATCATTTTTTTGTTTAATTGGAGTTGATAATTTTTTTTCAAGTTTTTCCCCATAAGTTGTCTTTAAAAGATAAGAAGGCAAATAAAATTGTCCTTTTTCGTCTTCGTTGTTGATGGAATCCATTATGTCACACCAGTATGAATTGACTATGGTACCGTATCCTTATTATGATTCAAAGCACTGAAATTACCAATTGATTTGATATAAAATTAGTTGATTTTTTGTTTTGTTGTGAATTGTGCCACCCTTGAATTTGATGTCATGAGAATATTAATTGTAATGGGAATTCGCGACTAGGAAAAGTTTGAACTTACAATATTTGACACAGAAAACAAGGGAAATGTGGGAGTTAGGAGGGTATATGAAGCCATAAATGAGCTATAATGTTAGTATAAAGTGTAAAGTATTTCAATATATTAAAAATTAATCAATTTTATCTTGTTTTAAGAATTAAATTTTTTTTTTTTTT